ATTTACGTGTTTTGCTCTTCTTCTTCATCCCCGGCAGCTCCCGAAAAGAACCCCAAAGCCATCGACCCACACCACCCTTTGAGAAACCGGTAAGAAAACTTGATTTTTCCTTCCTTTTCTCGTTCAAGAACAAGATTTAGGCTTGGAAATCTTTCCCCCCTGCAGAAAAATCCCGGATCTGCTTTGCTCTGTTCCTTCCGTCTACCGCTCTTGCTTGTGGGTGCGAATTTCTCTGATTTTTGGGTAAGAAACAGCCACTAATTCCTTTGTTCTTCCTTGAATTGGCTTGGGTTTACTCTAATTCCTCTTGGTTTCTCCCAATTTTCGGTAGATGTCCCGAATTCTCCGTGCACTTCCCGCCGGCCTTCCCCAATTTGCAGCTTCGGTTTGTTTGCTGAAAATTCCTGGTATGTGATAGCTCCATTTAAGTCCAAATTATCCATTTAAATTGCTGCCTGTGCTGTCCGAAATTCTGCAGTAATTAGGGGATAATTCCGGTAGCTTTAGGACAAAATTTAAGCATTAATTCAAATGGAATTTATGTGATTGAGTGTTAATTGACTGCTGTGAGGTTCTAGAGAAAAATCCCGTGAAATTAGCTATTGTTTTGCCAATTTTTGGAAGTTGAAGTTACTGTTCACGGGTTCTGTTCACGCACTAATGGCCAACAATAGGAGGGTTTAAATGTGTAGTTATATTGAGAATAAAATTGAGATGTCCGGTCATATGGTTATTAATTCTTGAATGTTTTGGTTAGGTTCTTGATCCTTGGGGCACTTTAGTACGTGGATTGAGTCTTCGGTTTTATGCGATTTGAGGTAAGTAAATTATGGTAACACCCTCCAATTTTAAAGCACATTTTAGCTTGTTTTTGAAGTGGTGGCGGGACTAAACCCGTTTTACACAAGTATGATCGATTTGAAATGGAATTATTATCATTTTCATTGAATTGAGCATGCCTACTTAGAATTTATTTAACTGCCCTGATGAACCGAGAATTTTGTAAATTTTGATTTTTTTGTTAAATCCATGCCCACATGGAAATTTTTCGGTTTATTTCTGAAATTTGAGATTGATTGTGAATTATGGATTTTGCTGGAAATCTTGCCTGGTTTTGTTTCCGATATGGTCATGTTATTCGTGTGCCCGCTAGTGGGAGGTTTATAAACGCTAGCACATGTCGACATGTTACTGATAGAATCGGTTCGTTTCTGTTACACTGTAATCCTGCTAGTGGGATTATACATTAGTAAATCGTGTGCCTGCCAGTGAGAGGTTTATAACACTGGTCATAACCTATAGAGGAGACGTCTATTTCAATTCCGTACTCATACTTGTTTTTTGTGATTGTAGTTGTTGGCATGCTATAAGTTTAATTAAGGGCTATCTATATTTACTTATTGAGTTATCTCATAGTTTTTCCTTGTCCACCATTTTAGGAAGCGAAGTCAAGGACGGGGAAAAACAAGGGGAGTGACGAGTTAGAAGGCTAGCCGTCTTGTAAAGTGAACATAAATTTTAGATATAAATCATGCTATTGTAAGCTAGATTTTAATTGGAGATTTTATAATTCATTTAGTGGATAGTTAGTTTACAAGAGATTTTACCTTGAAATTTTTATGGTATCAAAACAGATTTTATGAGAGCAGATTTTGCGAGATGATAAGTTCCGAGCCTTGTGCATTTGTGGGATCATTTCACAAGTGTACGGCGTCCGTCGCACCTCAAATTTGAGTTTTGAGGCGTGACATTAAACTAGTTCTGAGTAGGCTTTTTTTTTTTTTCTTTTTATTTGTGATTGTTAACCCGTGTGTTCTAGAAAGAACACCTACTGGGAAGCCGTAGGTCTTTAAGAGATGCTGAACCAACGTGGCAGCACCACTTTCGTCCATTCCCATTCACATTATTACGGTTAAACTGAAGATTTAATCCTTGATTTAGCATCCTAAACTAATTTTATCATTTTGGTATCTCAACATTTTTTAACTACTTTTAGTTGTTCAACTTTATTTGGAATTTAGTTTTAATTTGTTGAGTTTTTATCTTTTTAGTGCTTAGTATATATGGTGTTAGGGTTTAAACTTTTATGATTTTGTATTTAAGATTTAAAGTTTTTATTATTAAAATTTAAAATTTAAAAATTAAAAATTAAGAATAACAGGATTTAATAGTTAAAATTATTCTATTAGATCTAAAAAAAAAATTATAGAAACCATTTGACCTAAGAACCGATTGTTCCTCATAGCATTACCCTTCTAGAAATACCCTTCTAGAAGAGGGATTGCTTCCTTTTTGGCAAAAAATAAACTGTCTCTTTCATTGCTGGCTGCACATGGCTATCCCGGATGATAACGGCTGGTGACGCGAATTTTTTTTTCTTTTTTACACTTGCATTTGGTCTTCAACGACAGTTACGGCTTTCCCTCATTCGAAGGGATCGTTGTATGCATCTACCTAACATCACATAGTTGAAGACTTTAGTTTTTCTATTCGTTTTTGGCAGAAGGTGTAATTCAGCCATTTTACTTTAAGTGTTCTGGTAGATTAGTCCCTCTGCTAAGAAATCGTGCAAATCGACCCCTCTAGTAGTTGAGACCTGCAAATCGACCCTTTTGTCAAGGATGATGGTAGAGCACTTTTGTCTTTCCGTCTTCCGCTTTAAAATTTCATTAAAGGCTGCTTACTTGGCGCTGACATGGACAATGAAAATGGCCGGCTAGATACTTTTCCCCTTCCATTGCATATTTAAAAAAAAAAAAATTGAAAACACAAAATTATCCTCCACCTTCTTCTCTTGCCTTTATCCTCCACCCTTACCATACTTGCAGGCTAGTGAAATAATTCAAGCATGGAAAGCAACCTCAATTTGAATAACATGTGCATGTAGGGTTGTTAATAAACAAAGTAGTTTATGAATAATTTGTGAGTTACTCAAATTATACTCAATTTGACTTCAACTTATTTGGTAAACAAATCAAACTTAAGCTTAATATCGAGCTTGATAAAAAAAAATATAGAAAAAGAAAAAAAGCTTAAGCTTGAACTTGAGTTTGAACTTCCATAATTACTCGTGAACTGATTTAAAATTAAAAAGGTTAAATCTTCAATTTAATCCCTAAATTATTGAATGGATGCTCGATTTGGTCCCTGTACTAAAAAAATCCCTGATTTGATCCCTAAACTACTATACAGACCCCTGATTTAGTCCTTATTGTTTACCAATTTACCCCAAGTTGGTCCTTGTGTACAAAAACCAACTGATGTGCCTTGTTATTAATGTGGCACCTGACCATTAAGTTACTATTTTTTGTCGTTAAGTTATTGTTTTTTGTCATTAAGTTACTGTTTTTCGCCGTTAAATAACGGACACGTCAACTGTTTTTTATATGAAAGGACCAACTTGGGATAAATTGGTAAACAGTAGGGACCAAATTGGGGGTCCATACAATAATTCTGGGACCAAATTAAGGATTTTTTTAGTTCAGAGCCAAATCGGGGTTTAACCAATTAAAAATTATATTATATA